TTGTGGCTTATTCTTGAGTTTTCCTTCTTCTTCTACCCTGGTTCCTCTGAGCTGTTTTTTCAATCTCTGGATTAAATTCTAACTACTCTGAAGATACCTATCCTCTTAAACACATAAATCAAAAGAGTAACTCAAGCAAAGATTAACACAAACCAAAAACTAAAACTAAAAAATAAAACAAAAATAGAAATAAAAATAAAATACTCAATAAGCTTAAACAAAGAATTCTCAAAGAACACCGTTCCCCGGCAACGGCACTAGAAATACTTGTTGAATTATTGATAAGCGTACCAAAATTATCAATTGCAGTATAGTATTTCGATTAGATAAAAGTCGATTCCATGAGGAACGGTTTCAATGGAAATTCCTAGTTTTATGCTTACTAAGTAGATTAAAACAAAATGGGTTTTGCATAAAGAGTTAAATTGAAATTAAATGACAAAGAACTGTAAATTGTTGAGAAAATATCAATTAAAGGTACTTAGGATTGACTTCCTTCCTTATCCCTCTTTTGTAATGGCTATGTCAATTAAGAACGTTAATTAACCTAACAATGTTGATGTCACCTACTCAAATCATCCATGTTGATTCCTCACACATGAAATTCATAAGAAAACCTAATAAATGTTTATTCCTCACACAATTAAGAGATTTCCCAGCATTAGGTTTAGGGTGTTAAGCAATTGATAAATTCATTCCATTCTTGACAATTAATGTAACAAATATTCTTACCGTAATCTAGCGTTCAAGATATATTTTCCAATCATACCCCAAACATCAAGAATAAATTATTCCAAAACACAAAGGATAAGAATAACAACATCAAAACATAGATTAATATTTCAAAATATCACCATGATACAAAAGTGTTCAAAGGAAGTGCACCGAATCCTAAGAGAATGAACTTAACCACTCATGTTGGCCATTACAATGCTCCAAATGTGGAAGAAGTGAAGAATTGATGAAGATTGGACAAAACCCTAGCATTAGTCGCACCTCTTCTTCCCCAAAACTGCTTCCTTTTCTCAAAACACATCTTCTCTTTTTATTGAAAAAATTTGGGTTTTTGGGCTTCGCGTCTTTCGCTCGAGCGAGAACTTTCGCTCAAGCGAAAATTGCCTATTTTTGCTCAAGCGACAAAACGCTCGCTTGAGCGAATGAACTCTAGAGGAGAATAACTAATATTCGCTCAAGCGAATTTTCCTGTGCTTGAGCGAGTGAACTCCAGAGAAGAATAACTAACATTCGCTCAAGCGAGAATCCATCCTGCTCGAGCGACTTCCAAGCTGAAAATCTTCTTCCTTCTTCCAATTTTACTCCAATTCTGCTGAAAATTATGCTCCTTACTCTTGTATCAAGGTATTCTCGAATTCATCCTATATTGGGAGAAAAATATATTAGAATTAACATAAGTTAAGTGATTTCATAAAAATTCAAAGTATAATTATATCAACGTTTTACCACTTAACAAACGCCCCTTTCGGGTTCCCTATGATGGACCGTTTATTTTATAAATAAAGAACTCTAAAATTACACTTTTACCCTTATTTATTCATTAGCGGAATTTAAATTGTTGACTACATGGCCCTAACAGCTAATGCACAGATAAATGTAATAAGAAAGAGGTAAAAGAAGATAGAAAATGTAGGAACCTTCGAAGCAAGCTTTGTATTAATGTTCTTGGAAAAGAAAGGTGTTTTTTGGCAACCTCCGCGCTCTACAGTGATAATCGCTCTTTCTCACAACACTACAAGACGCTTACTAAGAACACTAAGAAACTCTGGAAATGCTTCGAAGGGATCCTAGGAGAATAATTAGGAGAAAGTGCAGAAGGGAAAGTTGCTTTGTGTTGTGAAAAGGATGAGGATGCCCCCCCCCCTTTTATAGAAATTCGCGCCTGTTAGGTCAGGACCGCCGTCTCGCTTGACAAGGTCGGGACTGCCATCTCGCCAATGGGACAGTCGTCTCACCTTCGGTAAGTGGCGAGACGGTGGTCTCGCCCTTAGCCGATGGCGAGACGGCGGTCTCGGCCCTTTAAGTGGAATTTCTTATTTTCCCTGTACAAAAATCCTTCCTATTCTAATATGGGACCTATTGATCAATCCTAGGGACCTTTTAAGCCTTGTCCATCTTCGAACGGAAGTCTTCTGCTCTTTATTTTGAGGTCGGGCAAGATTTGGGGTCTATAGTTGTGATATGAAAATTATCAAGGGGTATTTTCATGTGTGTAGTGTTGTATGTATAGAGATTGTTTTGGGACCGAGGAGATATCCTGACTTTACTTATCATTGAAATCACATAGATGAAAGGATCATGTGGTAAAAATTGAAGGAGGTTTCTAATTACTTAGCCTACAGTATGAAAAACAACTGTGTATTGATAAATCATTTATAAATTTACCCTGGTTACATATGAGTGTATATACTGAATTGAGCACCCTTGTGTTATGCACTTGGGGGAGTTCTAGTATGACAGGTGCAAATCTCTGATGTCTATTTCAATATCTAGCCTTCCGGAAGTTGTCTAGTGTATGTGTGACATGAATATGAGCTTGTTTGAATGTGTGATGTGATATATGAAAACTTGAAGTTACATTATGTTTTTATCTCACAATTGAATATTGCATGCTTGAATTGAATAACTAACTTATCGTGTGTATTTTGTATGTGCTTTTAATTATGATGGTTGTGTATTTATACGAGAACAAATTTTAGACGATTTTAATAAGAATAGGTTTGAAGTTAAGAGTAGTATAAATTTATATTTTGTTTACTTTTTAGGTAATAGATATGTATGTATATATTTCTCTATGCAAATGAAATTTATATTTTGAATTACTTTGTGGATCTTAATTAATTTATATATATATATATATATATTTTTTTTCAATTTCAAAATCAACATGATAATAATCAAAATTAAACTTGATCTATCTTATTTTAAAAATAGAAATTAAATTTAATAAAAATTATACAATAACATGTTTATAATTGAATGGTTTCTAGTTAGGTTGCATTATTTAAAAAGTATTCAATACTAAATTACAATTATTTTTTAATATTATTTTAAATTTAAAAATAATTACTTCAGATTTAATCATATAATTTCAATTTATTATATAAAAGCATAAAAAAATAATTACATTACAATCTTTTGAAATAGTTTATATAATTTAATATCTTTTATAAATTATCATAAAAATAAGGTAGATAATTTAGTCCCTTTATTTTTTAAATGTTTCAATGTGGTCCCAAAATTTTTTAAATTTTCAATTTAGACATGAATATTGAAATTGATGTCAATTTTGGACTACCGTTATATTAGATGTCTAGTTGGAGTATTCTGATGTGGTTAGGTGATTGGTTATAGTTACATGACAGATTTGTCACGTCACATTAAAATTACAGAAAGAAAGGAATAGGGTCGTTTACTTTCTTCGCTTGGCTTCTTCTTCGTCTCTGCCTTTTCGTCGACGATGGTCGCTTATCACCACTCCTCTCTCGTCACTGTCATTCCTTCGTCGTCGCAATGGGTAATAGGTAGTCCCTCTCTCATGCTCGACTTCCTCATCGTCGCAGGTCCCCCTTCCCTCGTCATCGGAAACAACTTGCTCTCTCGATGTCATCGTCACAAACCTTAAATGGAATCAACCTCCTCCTCCTCCTTCGTCACAGTCAAACTCACACACAATGGTGATTGGAACCCTAAACCCCCACTGTCGTCACAAATTGAACTCCCACCTCCCCTTTTGTTGCAAATCCTCTCACTTTCCCTCACCTATTTACACAAACTCTCGATTGTTCAAATTCTAAACACATTTGTGGTCCTATTCCTTCTTCCTGTAATTTTAATGTACGTGACACAATCGTCATGTAACTATAACCAATCACCTAACCACATCGAATCGATACTCCAACTAGACATCAAATATAATCTGAATTAAAACATATATAACGGTAATCCAAAATTGACATCAATTTCAATATTCATGTCTAAATTAAAAATTTTTAAAATTTTGGAACCACGTTGAAACATTTTAATAAATAAAAGGACTAAATTACTTATTTAACCTAAAAATAAATTTTAAAATATTAATTTTTATTTTTTATTTTAATAAACTATATATATTTATTTTATTATTTAAATTTTTAATCAATTAAATCCATCTCATCAATTACAATTTTTTATTTACATTTTTAACTATCAATTTAAATAAGTTTACTTTCTTTTATCTGTAGCTTCTTTTTCACTCAAACAAAATCACATTCAATCTTTCAATCTAATCATAATATAATGTGAGAAAGAGGGTAAACTGATTTGAATCCAGGAACTGGTAGATGAAGTCAATAAATAACAGATTTATTTTAAAAAAAAATTATAACTATTAATAAAATTAAATCTTAAGAAAAAAACTTCCAAACTTAGCAGATTTATTAGTGTGTTCTTATGTTTACCTGCATATTTCATTAAATTAATATTTTTGACAGATCAACATTTTAAGTTAGAAGATCTCAAAGGGTAAACTGATTTGAATCCAGGAACTGGTAGATGAAGTCAATAAATAACAGATTTATTTTAAAAAAATTATAACTATTAATAAAATTAAATCTTAAGAAAAAAACTTCCAAACTTAGCATATTTATTAGTGTGTTCTTATGTTTACCTGCATATTTCATTAAATTAATATTTTTGACAGATCAACATTTTAAGTTAGAAGATCTCAATTTTCTTGTTTATAATCTTAATATATTTTAGTTAAAATTTAATATCGTTGTAACAAATTTTAACTTAAGAAATAATAAAAAATGTTTAAATGACTTTATTTATTTTTAAAATATTTATTGTAACAGAGTTTTTGCGGATCAAATAGAGTTATTATATCTTACTCTTAGCGTAAGGAAAGGTCAAGTGGATTAAGAAAAGTAATTGGCGGGAAAACAAAACTGGGGGAAATAAGAACAAAAAACCCCTAACTCTACTTTTCTCATTCATCACTTCCAATGGCGCAGACTCAAGCCCTAACCTTCATTAACGAGATTCAATCTCTCGTCTCCGATAAACTTCAAGTGGTACACTTCTCTCTCTCTTTCACAACTTCATACATATGATTCTCCATTTTTTTTTCTTTTGTTACTTTTATTTTTACGGCATAATTTTTGTTGTTCTCTCCACACTTGAATTTCGGACTTTTTATGTCAAATTCCCCCAAATTCCTTCTTTTATGCCAAATAATTGTTTTCGTGTGGCTTTGTTTTCTCTGTCAGGTTTCGTACAAATGGTTGAGTCGCAATTATATGGTATCGTCCGATGAAGCGAAGAGGTTGGGGTTTGTTGAAAAAAATTGGCGAAAGGCTTTACGCCTGGAATTGATGTTTATTTTGTGTTTTATGTTATGGTTTTATGAATAGTTTCAAATTTGTTATATGTGTAGGGTGCTTCAGGAGTTTGTGCAAAAGAACGAGGGTGAGTTGGAGGTGGTGTATGCTTTGTCTGGTTGGTTAAAGAGCAACGATCGTAGTTACCATGTAAGGCTCGTTACTGGGCCGAAGCTTGCAGGTACTTTGGGTTTTTGTGTGTGGAAATAATGTTAATAAGAAATTGGGTGATCTATTTTATTTGCTGCTACGTTATCTAAATGTATGAGTTTGTGAGAATTGAGAGGGTGAAAAATCAAATTTAATTTTGCTGTTCTGGAATATGGTTTTTATGCTACTGAACCCTTGTCGGAAGGTATATGATAATGATCTTTTGTACTTTATGTTAAAACTCTAATGATATAAACCTAGTGTATCCAGCGGGGGTTGAGTCTAGCAGGAGTTGATCCTGCACAATGTGGTCAACTAAGGTTCAAATCCCGACGTGCAGGGTTTGCTCATGCTCCAAACAAAATTATCTCTTTTAGAAGTAGACTTTAAGCCTCATTCAACCTTACAAAACCTGTTTGTAAGGTGAGATTTGCATCTATTTGTATTATAACTTGGTTATATTTCTTGTTGATATGGAAACTTCAACACATCACGTTGAAAACTGAATATCTTCAGTTTGAGAATAAATATTCGTGGGTGATTTGATAGTAGTAGGATAGCAGGTGGCTAGATAGGCACAACAAACCTTACCTGGACTTTCTTTGATACCACCTTAGAAAGTGAATTTTATGTCTAATTAAACCTTACAAAACAAGGGGAGATTTGCATTCACTTATATATTATAATTTGATTATATCTTTAGTTATGTAGGATTTCTAACAACCTCCAAAACAGATATATGTGGTAATTAAGAAAACTAGTGCATTTTATTCATAGTTGTGTCACTATTTACTTTGTGCTTATTTATTCAATTTAAAAAATCTGTTTGGGCAGTACTGTCTCCTGCCTAACAGAATCAGTATCCAGCTTTCAGTTCTAAACAAACAAAACTTGCAGATGTCCATTTCTCGAGTGAAGTAGCAGTTCTCGTTTAGCATCTCGTTTTACAAAACCTGTATTTATTCTTGTTTTATAATTATCTTGTCTGAAACTTGGGCATGCTCAAATTGGTATGTTTCTGACTCAGATATATTGTATGATCAGTTTGTCTATATTGAAAGACTGACTGCCTAATCAAGAAGCTTTACTTTCCATATGATGTGTGCGTTTCAGTTTTTCTGTAAAATTTACATTTCGAGAAGCATCACTATTGAATAGGTTTTGCAATTGTTTTGCCAATAATTCTTTGATATGAAGTTTCTTATATACAAAAAACAATAGGAGGAACATGAAACTGTCTTACTTTTTATGCAGAAGCACAGAAAGAATTTGATGGGGATTGTTCAGTTCAGGTATATAGTGTGCAAGCTAGCATTCCAAAGGATCCAGCTCTGCTTTGGAATGCTGAATTTATTCAGGCAGAGGAACTCTTCAAGCAGCCCTCCTCAGACGACAATTGTTTGAGGGATAATAGGTAGGATCCGTTGCTGCAGAATATCTATGTAGTTTGGTTGTGTGATGGAAAGTATACATTGTGAAAGTTTTAAATTGTCTGGAGTTAATTATTGATTTCAGTTCATTTAATCTTCTACATATATTTACATGCATTGGGTTGTGAAGATGCATGTCTTTTCAAGTTATTTCTAGGTCAATTGAAGAAATCGTGTATATTCTGTATGCTACATGTGTAAAACATCAAATAGATCTGTTAACGGATCAAAACTATCATCTTTTAATTTAGTTTGGTTGTGTTCATTATTTTTAGAGTTAGTGAATCAGTAAAGGGATAAGGTCTGGTAAATGATATATTTGATGGTTTAAGATTCTAGATTAAATATAAAATAATAATACTAAGGCAAAATTTCGGTTTTCAAGGGCATCATCTTATCATTTGCTGCTATAGCGGGTCAGAATAATTTCTTTTCCTTCTTACCTAAGAAATATAATTTTTTTACTGAAACAGAAATGGCAGAAAAATGGAGGATGAGACACTCTCCTTGGAAGAAATGTCAAACAAGGAAATCTTTATATTTAGTTGGACTACTTAGTATTTGTACACCTGACATGAGACTAAAAACTATTTAGCAAAGGTTTCTGTGAAAAACTTGAGTGGGAGTACTGAGCAAGTTAGCATCCTTGCTTGACATTTAATTGTATATGCATTGTCAAAAAAATTACATTTCAAGAACTACATAAAAATTTGGTCTTGATAAAGAGAGATCGCAAGTCTTTCCATTGATTATTTGGTTGTTCTGGTTGATAGGAAGACTCCCTGCTTTCTCCTTGTTCTTTTCTTCTATAGGTTTTGGATTTTGTTATCTCATCTGTTAGGATATGATATTATGATGCATGGGACGAGGAATAGGATGGAGCATTTTAAAAGTGGGGAAAAGTTTATTTGAAATTTGGGGTAAAGATTTTGCTTCAGATAAACTAGAAGTGGTTGTGCTATTGTTTTAAAATTGGAGAATCTTTGACATTAAAATATGTTGATTTTTATTAGGTAAAAAGTGGTTTGATTTTTCTATCTTCAATTCTTTTGCATTGATGTGCAATAAGTTGGCCTGCAGGCAGGTCCTTTTTTTAGTGTTGTAACACTTCTAAGTTAACTGCGAGCTTTAATTTTCAGAATCTCTTCAATGGTCAAGAATGTAGTCAATGAAAATAGTTATCAATTTTTTTTCCTGTCAGGTTCTTAGTCTTCTCTCTTCATGGGACCTGCATGCATCAGTATAGTAGTCATGAATAAGACGTAATCTTTACATTACTGCATAGAGATTTTTTTTTTGGATTTCCTTGTGGTAATTAGTTTACTTCTCAGGTTCTGTGGGATTTCCAATTCTTTTGTACGAAGGAATGTGGATGCCTCGACAGTATTTTCTGCAGCTCCACAACCAAAATCTGCAGTAGGTGAGGGACCAACAAAGATTAACGCAGTTCAACAATCTCCTAAAAATATAGCACGTGATTCTATTGACAAAGCTGATACCAAACGACAGAATGTGATAAAAGAAGTCAAGAGTGAAAGCAATGGTACAGGAAATACTGTAGTTCTGGATAACATCAATAAGCCTACAGCAGCGAAAGAAAAGGCCCTACCCCTTCCCACAGGCAAAAAGAAAGTACAAGTTGATAAAAGTGGTTCTGCTGCTGGAGGTTCATTAACAAGCTTTTGGGGCCGTGCATCTGCAAAACCGAAGCCTTCCACCACATCAGTAGAAAATAGTAGCACAGTTTCAAATCCAGCTGGTTGGTTCCGTTACAGTTTATTCCATTTGCTTTGTTGTTGATTTTCATTTTTCTCCAGGTGAATGCAAAGTAACCTAACATTGTTTCTCCAATATATTTATCGACTCTTTCAGAATCTACTGAAGATGCCCAAACTGCTTGTGTAGAAGAGTGTGACAGTGGTAATGATGATAATCAAAATGTCTCCTTGAGAAGGTCATCCAATAGGAAAAGAAGAGTTGTCTTTGATTTCTCAGATGAAGATGAAGATGTTGTAAATTTAGCATCACCTGATTTGCCAAATAAACAATTATCTCAAGATTCTAGACAAAATGACAAAAGCACATCGGAGAAAACCACTTTGAATTTTGACTTGCAGGAAGAAAATAAATCAGGGGTTAAGGAAGAGAAACCAACTGACCAAAAGGCTCACCTACCACTGAGAGAAAATTTATCAGCTATCAGCAAGTGCACAAATACTGAAAAATCATCTTCTGAGAAGTTACATATATGTGCTCCTGATGTTCGTGTAAATAAGGATAGTGTAAACAATGCCCCTCCTTGTTCACCTAAAAGGAGAAAAGTGATGAAAACCAGAATTGATGAACGAGGCAGAGAAGGTACTTATATTTGGAAATCCATTTTTTCACTCAGCAGCTTCTTTGTTTCCATACAGTATACAAGCTTATGTATGACTATAACTATAATATAATAGATTACTTTGGAATTTCTTTTTTGAACATAGTTCTCTATAAGCATCAACTTTGCTCTGTACTGGCGTGATCTTAGGGTGATTCTTAAAAAATGTTTGTTGAAATCTCATTGACTATAAAGTTCCTTTATTATATGTTTGTATTTTTATTTTGTTAATGTTCTTTTCATCACTTCAGTAATTGAAGTAGTCTGGGAAGGGGAGGAGACAGTAGTGAAGAAACCTGACAAGGTTACAACAAAGAAAGCTGACAGTCATACAAATGCTGTCAATAGGTTAGTGCTAATCTTCCTTATCCTTCATGCATTTGAAATGAATGACTGGAAACTGCTATACTTCAAGGGCCAAAATGACACCTTCTCCAATGAAGCATAAAGGGGTACCTCATTAAGTTTTCTTTGCGACTTGCTAAGTAATTTTGAACTGCTTCATCGTCTTTTGTCAGAAAAAATCTTGAGTTTATGGTATTGAAATATGTACTTTGCCTTTTCTTTTGGGGTAATGCTAACTATTGCCAGGATTTGTGGGCCGAAACTAGTGTGACCGAGTTACTTGACCTGTTAACCATTTTAAGGTTTATGCTTGTTGGACGTTGATCCTCCATATATTGAGAACAGAAGGTTTTGATTTAAATTTTGGAAACAATTTAAGACACGTTAGTTACTGTTTGCTTTAGGCCTCTGCTTGTTTTGCGAAGTAGTTTTGAAGAACAGGATACAAACTTTTCTTCGGATTTTGGAGTCTCATATTTTGGGAGGTAAAACATAACGGCTGTGTAAACCAGTACTCATTTCCTTGGCCATTTGTAGGTTGTCTAAAACCTGAGTAGAGAAAAAGTAGCTCACTAAAACTATGACTATCCTTTTTGAACAGTGTCCTGTGTTCTGGTCGTAGTTTTAGCTACTTTATTGTCATAATATACTAGTCTCCCAAGTTATTTACAGAACATGAAAAAAGATCCCTGACCGGTTTTACATAATTGTCACCAGCCAATGAGAACGTTTAAGAACAGTAATTGTTAACAAAATGTTCGTATTTTTTGGGTTTGAAACGGTTTTTAAAGATAGACATAACATGTTCCACCCAAAATCCTCTTAAAACAAACAATAAAAAGATACTGATTTGTAAACAGGAGTTAAATGGGCACTGCACATGCACATGATTTGTAATTACTTACCTGGAATTAGTGTACATGCTTAAAATGGTTGTCCGCTCTAGCCAGCAATAGCATTTTTTATATCTGAACTCTGACTCTCCTCTCTTAATCTGGTTTTATTTTTGAAACTTAAATTTCCGCTTTTAAAACATAATATTACTACTTTAATAAGGTTTAGCTTGAGTATCATGACTAACTATATTCATTGCAATTCCAGTGCTCAGGCAACTAAGAAGCCACCAGCCAATTCAAATGCCAAAAATGGAAAAGGAGGAAACAAGAAAGCTGGAAACAAGGATACCAAACAGGGCAATATACTTTCATTTTTCAAGAGAGCTTGAAAACTTGACAGTTACAGGAGACCATTCATCAACATGATGTGAAGATATTGCATCATACGTAGTTCTGGTTTGTAGTCTGGATGCCGGATTGGTTCACTGTAACCTTGATGTGTTATGTTCTCCTCACGTTGTTAGACTGGTACTGTTCTTGCTTGAAAATACGTAGTTAACGTACAGTTCGGACACTATGAATCTGGCTTTGTTTCCTTGAGGTTGTAAACGTAGGTTAATCATACCATCTTTATATGCAACTACTTTTGTTTACAGTAAGGCAGAAAATGTTGTGAATCAGGATATACCTATGTTTTACTTTAAAACATGGTACATATCACAACAAAATTTGGAGATTGGAACGCGAATGAATGTTGACCTTTGTAATTGTCAAATTCGCACAGTTGTCCATATCATAGCTGTCTAATTAAAGCACAATGATGTAACTAGGAAAACCGGATTATGCTTTCGTAATTCATTTAGTCCATTATACAATGTGATAGATTCGATAGGCTACCTTGCATGTCCATCTTCAAATTGATGGATATTTTTAGTCCATTATATTATGAAAATATACAATAATATATTATAATTTAAATAATAAATATTTATAAATTAAGTTTTAAAATTTTACATGTAAATATCACTTATTTCAATTTATCTAATAAAAAATATTAATTTATTAGTAAAGATATAAAAATTTTCATATAGTTATGTGTTCTTTTGAAATATATAAAATTCATGTTTATATAAAAAAAAATTAATAGGTCAATTTATTGACATGATACTGATTAGAATAAGATGTGTAGTTCATTTTAATTATAGTCAATAATCAATCTCATCTTATTTATTGCAAATTAAAAGAGGATATATCTAACTCTAATTTTAATAGGAAATAATACTACAAATAATAGTAAGAATGAAATATATACATAATTTTTAAAGGGTTTTATTTTTCAATAGTCACCTTTTTTAATATGAAATTCAGCCTAATATTATTGTTTTTTAAAAGCAAATTTCAATTTGAACTTTTTTATGCAAATATAAAATAAGGATTAAAAAAATCTAACTATTGTGTTAACATTAAGTTATTTTAATAAAAGAACAATCATGTAAAAGGAGTGACCATTTTCTTGCTAACCTGAACCAACCAACTTGATGGTGATATTTCAGTATTTTGTATAATAAACTTTAAAGTTATAATCTTACAACATTGTAAAAAAAAATATAAATATTATATATATAATTTTTTTTTAAATAAAGATAAACACAAAAAGCTGTATTGTATAAATTATTATATGTTCATCTCGAAAAATTCATTTGTTAAACTATTATTGATCGCACGAATAACTTTGTCCATCTTGCTAGTCCTTAAGTCACTGCATTTCATTATATATATATATATATATATATATATATATATATATATATATATATATATATATATATATATATATATATCAAACGAATTTTTAATTTTTCGATTAAAAATTGTAATCAAATATTCAAACAAGCATAAAATAGAAAAAATAACCTACTGAAAAAGTTGTCCAGGTGTTCTTTCTAAATATGAAATCAGAATGTCTTTGGTTTACCGCAATAAATAACTTCTCTCACTTCTTTTCATTGTGCAATGAGTACCCCGTAACGTAAAATTTCAATGAAACGGGAATAAAATAATACCCAACATATGGATGCTGATTTTACTCTCCAAGTGTACGGAAGGTAAATGAAAGATTAGGCTCAGCTTATGCCAATGGAAACACCTTGTTTTTAGTTTAAAACTATATATATATATATATATATATATATATATATATATGATATGACATGTGATGAGATATTCCCGCATTGGACCTCACTCAACTAGTATTGAAAATACATAAATGGAGTTTGTATTTACCAAAGAAGAAGGATACTGTCATCTGATCTGATACAGAACAAACATTTTTTGTTTAATTGATCGAGGAAACATAGCGGAAAGGAAAAAGAGTTGCTACCCTATGCAAGTTACCAAATCAATGAGATAACCATATACACGATGATTTACAATCTTTTTCCCATGAATCTTTCTATTTGTATTCTGTTATTAACTGTCCCGAATCAGGTTAGTTGGCTCGCTCAAAACGTACTTGGGTAGCTCATACTTTGCTCCTGCAAAACAAGCATTCAAAATGGAAGGATCAGAGCAAGGTAAACATTGATAGAAGTAAATATTGCAAGAGATGAACATGCTATTTTAGCCCCCTTATAACAAACACAATCTGAAGAAGCTAAATTCTGGTTTGATTTCCATGAACAAAGTCTGGTATTTCCAACAATTTTGTTTTCATTATCATGGTATATCTCAAGCTAAGCTGGTTTTAACAGTTTTACTGAATTTCCCCTGTAGATACATACCCTTCAAATGCATGTTTGCTGTTTGTAAATAGAACTTACTGACCCCCCAACAGTTTGCTAATAGGTGTGTTTTCTGAGGTGATAAATGAAGAATGAGACGAGAGATTGTAAAAAAGGACATTTTTTATTGTGATATTACGTGTTTATGTGATAGGGTAGTTGAGGTAAGAAAGGAAATGGTGGGGTTAGAGAACTTTCCACCATAATCTACAATAAAGGTAGGAGTCACATGATTCAACTAGGTATGGACCACAGTAGGATAATTCAGGGGAAAAGTATGGTAGTACTGCAGGCAGCCCACATCACATGTAGTTCATGGCATAAAAGTTTTTTAGATGCTTTTCGACTTAACTTCTGAATTCATAAGTCATATTATAATTTCAAAATTAAATGAAACTTATCAAGTTTTTCAAGACTGATTCAGATTATAGAAATCAAAATATAGTGTATCCTATATAACTTTAATGTTCCTCTCCATTTGTAGATAATGGAATGCCACATGAAATAATTACCTCTTTCATCATAGCATACTGTCAAATCAGAACTTTGGACAATTACCCCAGCACTATCCACAATTGCTTGTGCTAAAGTTAGTTCAGCCTCGGCAGCAGCTCGAAGAGCATCCCAAATCTCTAGTAGCAAGCAGAAAAATATATATGCACTTCAATCAACTTAACTCAAACAATTAAGAATGTAATTAAGGCATAAATGAAAAAGGAGTGATACACAGATAATATGCCTTGTATACAATCTGAACCTTTAGTTATGATAATTATTAACATATCACACTATCATTGATTCTTGGTTTTCAAAAATTAGTTTAACACAACTAAATGCAATCTCTTAGTCTAACTTTTGTTTCTTCTTTTCACTACGAAAGTGACATTTGGCTTCCCAAGGCAAGTAGACCCAAAGGAAACCAATCATTTCTTCTTGCCACCACCAGGCCTAGGGAAGTCAAATCTCACTTTTTTAAGCAAAGCCATTCTGAACAAATGATCTCATACAGAAGAACTTTGATAACTTTTTCTTATTTCCATGGGGAAAAGTTTTTATTTTATTATGGGTTCTTTTTGCAACAATACTCGAAAATCTAGCCCAATTTTAATTAGTATGCTTTCATCACGTGTTTCTTGTCCGCAGATTTCCATATATAAAGCAAGACAGATAAATCCATGCTATATATCACATATAAGCACCAACAACCAAACAGAATTCTTATAAAAGCAAAACATTTTCCATTTCTTCCTTTATGTAAATTGTAACCTTACCATCCCTCTTTCCAAAATAATGTAATAGCAAGACAAGATTGAAACTCCACTCTTTTAGTCTTTACATGGAGAATATAATCATTAACCATGTACTTTGTGAAACCTAAGCCTACAGCTACATAGAGAATCACAGTACAACTTAGAAAAAATTCTGCACTTGAGGCATCATACTAGATGTAAGCATGGACGGATAAAACGTTTTGCTTATGAGTTTCTATAAGAGAACAAGAATACAAATTCAAAGGATGACCATCCAATCTTCTCTCTCTCCCCTTCTCCATAAATTGCCCAGATCATAATGATTCCCAAAGAGAAAAAAAAAAAAAAAATCATCCAGAAAGGAATTATTGGATAGCTTCTCTAACCATCATGAAGTATAGCATATTTATCAACCTACAAAGCTCAATCTCTACTGCCTCAGCCAGCCATCTACTCCCTTCAAGTTAAAGTTTCCTGTCCAACTTTTTCCAGATAAACACTCTTCAATCTCTTTGCTGCAGCCATTGCACCCACATGAGAGCAGACAATAATACAGACTCTTTAATTAGGAGGTCATTCTTGTCTGCTGCCCCTTCGGAAAATTCTTAGGCATACAGCATTTTCAAAAATTTCTTCTTGGTTAAGAAATGAAAACCCATAATTGATCAGCTTTCTATGCAATCTCTAACAAGAATATGAACTAATGGAATATCCAGTTTAGGTTGGTAATACAGGTAGCAAACTTTGGTTATTTATTGTCAATTCATATCATCAATAATTACCAACCCTATTGTACAACATCCTGGCCATAAAGATAGAAGTTTCTTAGATGATGATAGTGTTAGACGAGATCACAAATAACTAATTTTAATCAGGCAGAAAACAAAACAAAAATAAAGAAATTGGCGCAGCAAACTATGGGAAGTGAACTGATTCATTATAAAGCAACCACTTCCACTTAAACTCCTTTTCTTCTAAAGCCAATTTAATCTGCAATAAGGCCTTTAAACATTCCAAATATGGTCATTTATTGAATTATGATAGTACCTTTCCGGCCACCATAGTGAGGAGCTGTGTCCCAAAACTCATCACGTAATTGTGTTAGCTGAGTCTTTGTTATAGGCTGAGGATGCTTCCATGGCTTAGGCTTCCGGATCTTTTTTACTGCACCTGTTATATTGGTGTAAATGGCAACTATATTAAACTTAAACCTGAGCATTGTCATCAGGAATAAGCCGCTAAAAAGATAGTTTAACACTTTGGAGGATGTAAGAAATTAAAAATCTCACCACAAGCATTTGAAATGATGAATAACAAGTATTCAGATTAACAACACAACAACAATACTAAGCTATGAGAAAGGAAGCAAATAGAAGAGAGTAACATGCTGCACCACCTTATTCTACACGTACTTTTTGTAGTTAAAATTTAAACCATCAATTTACAAAGGATTTTTCCCCTTCATGATATTATATCAACACTACAGAACAAATTTGAGGCAAGACTAACAAAGAGTTTAGATCACACAGCCACACATCTACGTCTGGAGAAAGTGTGTAATCCGAGAATAGGCCTTATCAACAGTCAGATACTCAGGCGGCGTTATGAATAAAATCAAGCATAATACTAGAAAATAAAATTCATCAATATACGGTCATAAATTTACTTTGTTTTCTAAAATTCATGAAGCAACAAGCTTATAAACTTGCTTCACTCAAGCACTTTCAAATGTTTACACCAATTTACTGCAGTTCATCCAAAACCTTGATAATCTAAACTAACCCCAACAGCCGTACGGGTCATTCCCAAACCAATTATTCCAAACTCAATTTAATCAGCAAAAACTCAGAGTGTCCTCAATAGAGACTAAATTTTCAAAACTACAAATAAGAGAAGGACACAAAGTGTGCTTGGTTTCATGTTGGCTTATCCAGAATCATGCTGAAAAAACCAAGTATAGTGATTTCCTTACATTTAGAGATTGAGAGTATGTTTTGATGCTCAGAAGAAAGAGAAGATATTCAGAATCGGTTCTGCTTAGAAGTGAGAAACGGACGTATGTCACCTTTGATTTGATGCTAAATCAAACACCCACTGATTCTAGGTCGAGAATTGTTTTTGAGTTAAAGCAACTTAGCTTTTCCGGTGAATCAAAATAATTTATACTGAATTGTACTTCTACCTAGCTTTTAAAACAAAAAACATCCAAACATAAATCACATCACGTCAAAATCAATTTCATTCAAAATCAAATTTGCCAATACTCACCCAAACCCCCACCTAGCAAATCACTTGAACTTAAAAAGCAAATCAAAGAACCATGTAGTGCTAACAAGTTTGGCACACCATTCCTCACTCTTACCCCATAACGCCACTAGCAACCTCCAACAGATTAAAAAACACAACAACCTATAACGAAAAACGCTTGGAAAAACAACATGAAAAAAAAAAAATGGTCCAAACGGTTTCACAGGGTAGGATTTTCATTATTCGATACAAAATGTGGTAAAATATCCAAAACCCAAAAAACAGATTTGTAATTCGTTTGCCCTATGCAACTTATTTCTTGATGTTCTTCCCCTTCAAAATTAGAATTTTCCAGAGTCCCTCAGATATGATCGTTCACAAATATTAGCACCCCAATAAACAACAACCAGAAAGAACGGATTTTGACACCGAGCCAGAATCAAATTCCCAACATTTAACGAATGGGGAATGCAAAAATGAGGTTTTAGGGGAATCAGAGGAAGGGGTGGCTCACCATCAGGCTTGGATTGTGAAGATCCAGCACAACCCATTTGCAAAAGAAGGAGAGAAGGGAAGAGAGAGAGAGAGAGAGAGAGAGAGAGAGAGAGGGAGAGTGGGAGAGAAAGAAAGAAGTGAAAGAATGAGAAGGAGTTTGCTTGTGAGTGAGATGCCAAGTCAATGACGTAGCTTTGTCAAGATAACCACTGCAGTGGGTAACGGTAATGGCTACACTCTACTACCTTTCCACCTAATTCTAAATTACGATTTTAGTCTGTGTAATATATTAATAAATATTTATTTATATAATTAAAATCTATTATTAAATATGTTATACCAATATTTTTTTTAGGATTTTTTAAAATATATTTCTTTAATAAATAATTATTCAAAATCAAATAACTGCTATGCGTTCTTTCAATTGAATTTTTATTTTATAAATAATTAGATAAATTCGTTATTGAAAAAAACAAGTCATATGCTCACAGTTTTTTTTAACATTTATTATGCAATTCTTGTTTAATAGTATCAATTATATATATATATATAAACATAAATTTTTTCAAATATTATTATTATATTAATAAAATATTCGTTATAATTATTTAAATTTATTAAAAAATATATTAAATCCTAAATCTTAATTATTTAATTTTTTAAATATTAAATTATTATTTATTAGAAATAGTCATATTTATTAAAATATTTTAACTATTTATTAAAATAGTAAATATTTAGTTATTTTTAATTAAAGAATATCTATTTTCGATTAAAAAAAAACATTTTCTTGTTTAAAAATTTAATATTTTTCAAAAGATTAAGATATTTGACTTTTTAAATATTTATCGTTTATAAATAATAATATTCACGATTAAAACTCTATTATAAAAATGTCTTATTTTAGTTAAATATTTAATTTAAATAAATAAATATATATACACATATGTATTGAGAAATTATATAAAATTAAATAAATATACACATATATTTAATTTATTTTTAAAAAATAATAAATTATTAATAAATATTAAATTTTATTTTAACGATCATTAGAAATTCTTTCAATTATTTTAAATAATTTTTTAAATTAAAAAAATATTGCTGTTGATTTTCTAGTCATCAATTTCTCGCCATCATTCTTAACTTCTTTATAGAAAAATAATTTGCTACTTCATCGACCTATTTACCGTATAATATACACTGTAAAATTGGCTAATTGTCAATAATACAACGTATAAGTTTTGTAAATGAATATTTATATAAAAAAGTGTCGTAAAATGTCTTATTTTTTAATAAATATTTTCACATAACCCATGCACCACATTATTTACGCAAATAACATTTTTTTTATATGTTGAGAATTAGGTTGGTGAGATAAAATTTCTCAACTAAGTATTAAATATTATATAATATATTTACCATTGTTTCGAGAAATTGGTTAATGTCTTAACAACTTTTTTGTATTTTCAATTTAATAAATGATTATTAATAATTTTAAATAATTAATTTAATTGAAATAATTTATGTTTATGATTAAAATAAAATTGTTATTTTGTCAATAAGGTATTAATTTTTAATAAATAAATCCAAATAAGTTTTGTAATTTAATTGTAACTATATATATATATATATGATTTTACATTTTTAATAAATATATTAAATTAAATAACTAATTAAAAAGTTTTTATTAGTTAATATTTAAATTAAAAATTGAATTAAAATAATATTTTTATAATAAAGTAAATAATTATTTTTAAATAAAGCCTACTTGATTATATTCTTATTTTTATTGTAGAAAAATCGATTTCGCAATCACTCATTTCTCTAACTAATTTTTGAATTTTGTTTAATAACAGATTGGTTGACTATATAAGTATATTTACAATTAATTAAAATTATTTGTTTAAATTTTTATTTAATCAAAATAAAAGCATATTCACAAATATTAAAATTTACATCATAAATAGAAGTTCTTAAATTTTTACCGAAAAGACGATCTTTAAAAAAATATCTTAAATTATGATAAATAATTTATATTATAATTTTTTAATTATTAAATTTTTTAAAAATTAGTAAAATCTAAGTTAAAATTAAAAGAAAAAAAGTTAAATTCAATTTAGGAATGAATGTAAGTACCTAGAATTTTAAAAATACTGTAAAAAAAAGTGAAAAGATAGAGTTTAGTTAAGTTTTAAAGTTATAAGTAGAGAAATTCAATATTTTATTTTTTATTTATTAAAAATTATTATTTCTATAATTTTTTTTTCATATTTTTCTCTAAAATATCTACCTTGAACATATTTTTTATTTTTTTAGATCTGGATCAACTTTAGTGTTCTTGGCAGAGAGTAAAATATTTTCGTTACATGCAAATTTAGAATGTTTGCATGTTAATCCCATAACTTTGACATTAGGAAATAATTAGGTAAAGATAAATCTTTATTATTTTAAGATTTTAGTAGTATATTTAGTTTATTGATTAGGGTTTGTGTTAGCAAGATTATACTCCATGTAAGATTGAAGCTCTTTAGACTTTTTGCTTGGAAGGAAGAAAAATAAAAAAAGGGTAAGAGTGTTATGAAACGTATTGCAGAAAAAAAGAACTCACTCCATACATTCCCATTTGGAGACTCACTATCAAGTCTTCCTTTAACTGTTGTAGATTTTTCTCCTTATTTCATGACACTTCCTAAGTATTGGGGTGAGGTGGTTGCTAGTGGATTTTTTGGACGTAGGTAGTTAGGGTTTTGGGTCCAATCTACATCTATAAATAAAGACCACTTCACAATCTTCCAAAAATACACCTCTTTCGTCTTCTCTTCTCTATCTTTCTTCCTATTTTATTATTATCTTTGATTTATTTACTCTTTTAAGTGTTTCTTGCTAGTTTATGAGATGCTCATAAATCTCAAGAAGCTATTGTTATATCCTGCGGGACTTGCGCAATACACCACGGATAAGTCCTTAAGAGCAGTGATTATACACGACTCAAGAATAAAATTTGTTTGTGTCTCTGTCAGCTTTTACAACAATCTTAAGGACTTATGATTGACAGTATAGATACCAACAACAACTTCACACTGAAAAATACTAGGAATAAAGTTTGTTCGTGTCTCTGTCAGCTTTTACAACAATCTTAAGGACTTATGACTGACAGTATGGATATCAACAACAACTTCACACCGGAAAAGACCAGGAATAAAGTTTGTTCATGTCTCTATCAGCTTTTATAACATTCTTAAGGACTTATGGCTGACAGTATGGATATCAACGACAACTCCACACTGGAAAAGACAAACAATATTTCTGGAACTTAAACTGTCTTTGCAAAACTATTCCCGGGCATTTCGAAAATTGAAGTTTTCACTGGGCAAAACTTCCAACTTTGGCTTCTACTTTTACAACTATCAAACCTGACTCCAGTACTCCTACTAAACAAATTGAAGATTGGGTTCATTCGAACAAGGTATGTCAACACACTTTGCTTAGTGCATTGTCTAATGATTTGTTCGAAGTGTATTGTTCCTATAAGGAAGCTAAAAATATTTGGGATTCATTGATTCTCAAATACATTGTCGAAGATATCGTGAGACAAAGGTTCATTATTGGAAACTACTACCGTTGGGAGATGCTAAAAGACAAGGACATCAAGATCAAGATCAATGAGTACCATAAACTGCTTGAAGATATTAAAGCCAAAAACATAGTCCTACCTAATGAGTTCGTTTCGAAACTTCTAATCGAAAAACTTGTGGAATCCTGGACAAACTACAAACAACAATTGAAGCATAGACATAAATAGATGTCACTAATATATCTTATCACGCACATCATCATCGAAGATACCAACTGAAAGGAGTGCGCTGCTGCAAGGACTAAGGCATTATCAGCTAAGGCAAATATGGTAAAAGACAAACCAACTCCAAAAAGGTACGAGAAAAAACCTGATTATAAGAAGAAAAATAATTTTAAAAATTCTTGTCCCAATGGATCTAACCCCACCTTTAATAAGAAGGGAAATTGCTTTGTCTGTGGAAAGTCAGGTGATTGTCGTCGCCGTCAGAAGAGGCAGTCGGAGCGACGCGATGGTTTTGAATGACTTGCGTTTTTTACAGAAGTGGTTTAACGCCTTTAGGTTGTCCGATAACTAAGCTGGACCTAAAGGTGAGGTTTTCGAAAAGGTTCGAGGGAGTCGTCATCGATGTTTTTTACCATAAACATCGAAAAAGGAAAAAAAAAAGAAGGCATTGGTTTTAGAAAAACCCAACTTTGGCCATTACAACCAGAGTCAGGTAAGGGAGTTAGTTACGTGTGAGGAAGGTGTTAGCACCCCACAACGCCCCTTTCGGGTTCCCTATGATGGACCAGTTTAGAAAATAAATACTTGAAGAAATTATGTTTTTACCCTATTATTTTACCTACTTGCATAATTTTAATGTCTACATGACCCTATTATCTAATGCATACAAAGAAAGCGATAAAGAAAGCAGTAAAAGAGAAGAGATATGAAGAAGAACCTCCGAAGCAAGCTTTTATAAATCTTGAACTTGATGACACTTTTTGGCAGTCCCCGCACTCTACAGAGTCGCTCCTCCCTCAAACAAAAAATAAGAGTACCACCCTACCGAGGGTCGGACGTCTCAAAAGGAGACTTCCTTAACTGATTTCTACCTTAAACGAAAATCGGAAAGCTCACTCGAACTCTGGAATAATGCTCAGAGTCACTTTAACTCTGGAATAATGCTTAGAGTCACTCTAAAGTGCCAAAAGGCTTCCTAGAGAGTGTAGGAGTGGAGAAGTGTGTAAAATTCGAGGAATGGGGCTCCTATTTATAGGGAACCGCACCAGAAAAAAGTGGACGGTCGTCTGGACATAGTGGTGATCGTCCATGGCAAAAAGTGGTCATGGACGGCCGTCCATGTAGGGTGGACAGCCGTCCATGGCCAAAAGTTGTCATGGACGGTCATCCAAGCTAGGTGGACGGTCGTCCATAGCCTTAAAGTTGGCATGGACGGCCGTCTGACTGTCCTAGACGGCCATCTGCTGTCTCGGA